CCCCCCCCTTCAATATATCCCTTATGCTTACCCATCCCCTAAATCCCTCTACCCCCCATCCACATACAAAACCATCCATGTGCACCCCYTGTATCCCAACCCACACGTCCATAGAGCACCCAAAAGTCCCACACACACACATCCCCCCTTCCAGCAGGCACTTCCACACCTCTCCAAACAGCCCCCCAACACACACAACCCCCACGGCTCCCAGGATCCCCCCAGGATCCCCCCAGAACCCCGCAGCCCCTAGGAGCTCCCCACTAGTGAGTTTGGGGAGTTTGGGATGTGTCCCAACCCCACTGGGCCGGACCTGGAGCACGATGGCGGGCACRGAGAAGATCATGGCCTCGTTGAACACGGGGTTGGTGTCTCCCCTCTTCACCACCGTCTTCTTCTTGCTGATCTTCCTCCCGTCCTGCAGCAGGTACACCTTGACGAAGGGATCTGCTCGGAGCAAGAGAGGGATCAGTCACACGTGTCCCCAGTGGTGTGGACAAAGGGTGGGGACCCTTCCTGGTGTCCTCYRGTAAAGATCCRTGCRGTGAAGGGGACAAACYGGGACCAAGGCCAGCACAGAGCYGCCCTCACCTGCAGTCACCTTCCCRTTGCTCCACACGAGGTTCCTGGCTTTGACCACCACCACGGTGAGCCGCTCGGCTGTGGGCAGGTAGCTCAGGGACAGCAGGATCTCCCCCACCGTGTCCACCGCCTGCAGGACACAGCAAGGGACACAAATGACAAACGACAGCACCCCGTCACCGCCAGCCCGACCCCACAACCCCAGGACACAGGGTACACCCAGCTTGCCTTGTTGGTGTCCTGCAGGTAGAGCCAGGCGTTGAAGGGGCGAGTGGCCAGCTCCAGGTCGGAGAGCTTGAGCTCGGCCACGCCGGTGCTGACGCTGCGCTCGTCCTCGTCCACACCAAAGACGGAGAAACGCAGGCTGTTCTCCTCCAGAGCCACCGGGTCCAGCGGCACCGAGAAACGCTCGTCGAAGGCCACGGAGTAGGAGCTGCGCTGGATCTGCCGCGGGAACGAGGGGTTATCCCGGTGCCTGCAGGGCTGGGGGCTGCATCCCTGCTCTGCCCTGATCCATGGGAATTGTGCAGAGCATCCCCTGGGCACCCCCATCCCATCAGGATGATTTATTCCCGACCTGACCGCAGCAGCTGCTGAGCCATTGGGGTAAAAATCAGGGCTGTGACCTGCCCCAGTGCCTGAGAATTCTTTTCATTAAGGAATAAAGGTTGGCCCAGTGCTCTTGGATACATCCCAACCCCCTCGGAGTGCGGGTGCAGATCCCATTTGGCCACATCAGGATGGAACCCCCAGCCCCTGYCCAAGCCAGAGAACCAACTCCTGCACATTCCTAGCAGGAATGATGCTGTCTGGGTGACATTATCCCTGTGTCACATCATTCCCTGGGAATAGAGGCGGCAGCAGCAGCTCCCATAGCTCATCTTGCATGTGCTGATCCCAAAGAATGGGCAGGGGGGAAACTGCTTGGAAATCACAGGTTTAGGGATGTTTTTTCCCCTGTTTCAACATCCAAGATGCCCCACGCAAGCCAGGGGTTTGTGCYATGGGATGGAAAGCTGCAGCTTTGGACAGCATGGAGCAAAGTGGATCCACCAGCTCCCCAAAGCCACAGGTGGAGAAGGGGCCCCTCTGTGGGGCTGTGACACCCCAAAAGTCCCCTGAGACAAGGTTCATCTCCCCCAAGGAATCTTTCCTGTCTCAATCTGCTCCGCTCCTGAAGGGCACAAAGGTGGCACCTGCCATCCCCCACTTCCCAGTCCATGCTCTCCCACAGGATACCACCAACTCCCAGAGCCCCCAGGGGATTGAAGTTCCTCTGTGGGAAGAGCAGATTTTACAGCCCTACAGATTTTACAGACTGTCTGTCTGCAGCCCACGCTGTGTTTTGGGAGCTCTGGATCAAGCACAACCAAACTGGAGCTGCTATTTAAAATTCCCCCCAGCAGCACCAGAAAAGCTCTGGCTGGGCCTTCATCCGTGGCCTCGGGGCAGCCGAGGAGGTAAATTGTGCTGGTAAATTATAAATAGTGACACTAAATAATAAATYTCTCCAGAGCATAAATAAAGAGCTAGAGATTTGGATGGAAAAATGGCCTAAAAGGGCACTGTGGAAATGTTTCGGAGGAAGCAGTGGGTTTGTGTGGATGGAGCAGCACTTCCATCCCAGTGGAGAGGTGCCTTAATAGGATGCAGATTTCTGCTCCTCTCTGGAATACCCCGATTAAATCAAGCTGGTTCTGCAGAATGGAGCTGCTGGAAGAAAACTGAGGCCCCTGCTTTCCAGAAGCAGCTTTTGAGGCACCGAAAAAGGGAGGTTTTGCCCCAGATCCGCTGCTGGTTGTGGYCCTGTTGGAGCAGCCACGTGGATTTTCCGCTGCTGCATCCTTTATGGGAGAGAGAAGGGATTTKGGGGGACTGCAGTGGTCTGTGGGGCCACGGCGAGACACTGGCAGCACCTGCCAAAAATGCCACTGCCACCCAAATCCCAGCCCARGCCACTTCCTCCACCTTGCCGCAGGTGGGAAAGGCAAGCGGGAAAACTCGCCACCAGCCACGCTYGGAGAGGCCAAACTCAGCCCAAATCCCAGCCAAGGGGGAGACATTCCCTCCCCTGCCAGGTCTGTGCCAACCCATCTGGGACAGCCCCCAAAATGCTGTGTCAACCCAGAGCTCCCGTCTCCCAAATCCCATCACTGCTTTGGGGAAGCTGAGAACTTCCAGAATCCCACATCAACCGCATCCAGTCTTGAACTCGGTGCTCCCCAACCCCACTACTGTCTCGGGGAGCCGATATCCCCCAAATCCTGCACCGGAGCTCTCTGCTCCCAAACCTCACCCCTTCCTCGGGGAGCCGATATCCCCCAAATCCTGCACCAACCACTCTCAGCCCTGACGTGCCAGGAGCTCCCTGCTTCTAAAACCCACCCCTTCCTCAGAGAGCCGATATCCCCCAAATCCTGCACCGGAGCTCTCTGCTCCCAAACCTCACCCCTTGTCTGGGAATGCGGCCCCCCAAACTCCCAGGGTGATCCCCGAGGAGTCCGGGTGCGAAGGAGGGGCTCACCCGGGAGATGCCGACGATCTGCTCGGCCGGGAGGAGGCTGATCCGCATGAAGCACGACTCGAAGCGCGCGTCCTCCTTCTCCAGCAGGTCCTTGCCCTGCAGCAGCGTGACGTGCAGGGCGGCCGCCCTCCCGTCGTACTCCATGGACACCTCCACCTGCCCCACCGTGAAATCCTGCCCGAAGTTGTTGCCGATGGACGAGATGGAGTTGAGGGAGTCTGCCGAGATGGATTTCCGCAGGGGGCCGTAATGGGYCAGGCCCAGCTCTCTGCCCATCAGCTCCAGGCTGCCCAGCTCCTGGATGCTCTCCGAGGTGTCCTCCGCYCTCAGGCTGCTCTTGCGGGATGAAGAGCTCCGAGCAGGCGTCCGCTGCGAGCCCGGGGCCAGCCCTCGCTGCCGGGGAGAGGAGAGCGATGCCATCCAGGCTGTCCCTCCGTACGGAGCAGAACAGCTGGGCTTCTCCGGCGCCTCCTTGGATCCATCCCGGCCCCTGCCTGGCCTCAAGCTGCCGCGGCAGCGAGCCCGGAGCTTCCCGCAGCTCCCGGCTCCAGCCATCCCCGCAAAAGCTCCAGCAGCACCGGGTCGCTGCCCGCGGCCGTTCCGCATCCCCAATCCCCATCCCTCCGGCATCCTGCGTGCTGCAAAGGGAAGGAGACAACCCCGACCTCCCCCCTTACCTTGTTCCTGATGTCCGGACACGCCGCTCCGTACTTCTGCTCCAGGTACCGGTAGTCATAATTTGGGAAGGGGGAAGGGGCCGGGTAGCTCCCGGAGCGCCAGAGCTTCCACAGGTTGAYGGCTGCGATTCCCAGCAGCGCCAAGGCGCCGGCGGCGTAGAGCCCGATCTCCCACCGCGGCGGGCTGGAGGCCACTGCGGGGACAGGGGACTCCGTGAGCCGGTCACAATCCCGGCAAGGAGCCTTCAGCCTCGGTTGCTTCYACGCTGGGAACTCGGCTCCGAGCTCCGAGGGTGGGATGGGCCCAGCGGGGAATGAACTGCAGATCCCACCGGGCTCGCTGCAAACGGGTCAGGCAGAGGCTCTGCCGGCCAAAAAACGTCAGCCCTGGCTGGGTTTTCCCGGGAGGCGAAGCGCTCCCGTGTCCCAGCCCCGCTTCCCGAGGGTCCCTTTAGCAGCGGCGGCTCTGTCCCGCCGCCAGATGTGCCCAGGGCACATCTGCATCGCCCCGGGCCCCGCGGGACAGCCCGCGCTGCCCCCCCCACCCCGGGCTGGGGACGCCAGGAAAAGCCGGGAGAAGGGAAAAAACCCAAGGAGAAGCTGCGGGAAACAGGCAGAGCCCCYCGGGCGCCGCCGGAGCGAGCGGGGAGGGAGCGCCGGGCTCGGCTGCGAGCGGCTCCTGCTGCATTGCAGCAGCCTCCATCACTCCCTCCCGCGCCGAACCGGCACCAGCCGCTCCGTGGAACGCGGGGAGAGGAGAGAAAGCGGATTTCTCATCCCGGAGCACTGCCGGGGAGTCCTCCGGCATCGCCACGCCGCAGCGCTCCCTCCTTCGGAGCCGGAAAAAGCCCAAAGCCGGGCTGAACTCCCACATCGCATCCGAGCGCAGGGACAACCTGCTGCTCCCCCCAGCCCTCCTCCAGCAGGAACAGCACCGAGTGTTCGCATCCAAAGCACCTGCTCTGGATCCCGCGAGCAGCCCAGAGGSATCTCCCGGGTTAAACATCGCGGGGGGATCCGGGTCCTGCTTCCTCCACCCGGCCCCAGACCCCTCGAGGGCTCTGCTTTAGCCCTGCATCCCGGCTGAGGATGCTGCGGGAAGCAGTTGGAGCTTTCCCGTGCCAGAGCTCCCGGGCTCCTGCTATGGCGGAGGGGCAAAATCGGGAATAAAACTGGGGATAAAAATAAAATTAGCACAATAATCCTTCCCCGGTTTCCTGCCTCTGAGTAACTCCAAGTGCAAATTCTGGCAGAACTGGAAGCCGCTTCACCCTCATTTTCGAGGGCTGAGCATTCATGTTGGAAAACTTGGGGGTTTCTGGGGTTTTTCCCTTGTTTTAGGAAACGAAATCCCGCGGGCACACGGAGCAGAGGGTCCTCCCCATGGAAAGCAGCGAGGACCAGCAATCCCCCAAAAACCCCTCGGGGTGAGCCCGAGCAGCTGCACCCCAAACCCTCCCCGGACTCCCTCGGGAGGACTCACCACTGAAGCGGGATCTGCTTACGTGCCCAGTGTCCATGGCAAACGCTCCCTGCGAGCGGGACAGCCTGGAATGTGTGAGACACGACGTTAGGAGCGAGGGGAAGAACTCAAAAACTGAATGCCTTGCGATTTTCCGCCAGGGACGCTCCATCACTGCTCCCCCTCCATCGCTCCCGGCCTTGGCTCCTCTTCCAGGCGCCGAGCAAACGCGCTGGAGCCTCTCGGCCACCGGCAGGAGCTGAAGGAGGGATGGAAACCCTCGAGGAGAGGCAGAGCCGCCCGATTTACCTCGTGAGCGTTTAACAGGCGACATTSCCAACCTCTCTGCGCGTGGAATTCCCCCCTCCAGGAGCCCTCGAAGCCCTGTGCTGCTTTTCTAGCTGAAATCTTCCTTTGCCTCCTGCAGTTTCCCGGCCTCTCCCGAGGCTCTGCCGTGGCCCCGGCCGAGGGGGGCGGCCCCATTCCCCCGTTTTGGGGTCGCTGCAGGGTTTAGGGCACGCTGCTCCCCAGGAATCCGCTCCTGCAGTGGGAAAGCTCCGCTGCCTTCCCCTCCCTCCCCCAAAGGGGTTTTCCCAGTCTGGTCTGTGCAAGATCCATCCTAAAGAAGGGAAGCTGTTCTCCCAGGCAAATCCCAGCCCGGGCACCACTGAAGGGGATTTACCCGAGCCAGCTGCTTCCTGCTGCAAAAAGGGGGTTTGGGATCCCCAAAACCACAAAACGAGCAAATCCAATGGGAACTGAGCAGCATCCTCTGTTCTCTGGCATCCGTAGCGGGAGATCCCAGACCACGGGGAGCTGAGGGGATCCCTGAGACCCCCAGGGGGGCACAACCTCAGCACTGCACCTAAAGCCCCAGGATCCTGGAGCACCCAGGCCCCTCTGCAGAATTCCCACATCTCACTCATGATGCGGGAAGAAGGAGCTGGGTTGGCCTTGGACAGRTGATCCTGCAGTATTTGGGTCCCACCTTTGGGTGCTCACAGCCTCAGGGACTGGGGTGGTGATCAACTCCCCCCAAACCATCCAGGCTTGGATTTTAGTGGGCAAAGATGGGAATTTCAGTGTGTTACAGCATGGAATATCAGCTGTGCTGGCCTGGCCTGGCCTGGCTGGGCACCCTCTGCAGGGGCACACGGCCCTTGGGTGATAAAAGSGGGGCCCTAAATGCAACCCAAAGTGTCAGCGATGCTGGGATGGGGCTGGGAGATGCCCAACTCCTCCCCAGCCTCCTCCCTCTGGCACGAATCTCCCGGTGCCATGGACAAAACAGGGTTTTGTCACAGTCACATCCTGGCTGAGGACATGCTGAGCTCGTGTCACAGCTGAGCTCAGCCTAAGGCAGGCTTTGCTGCTCAGTGCTGAAAATTGACATCTCAATGGAGCAACACGATGAAGATTTACCCAAAACTGCCTCTTTTTATGCCCTGAAAAGCTCCCGTGCCCAAGCAAGGGGCTCTGTTCCTCTCTCTGCTTCCCAATTATTTTTAAGATGAAAACAGCGAAGTTTTCAGGACCAACTTTCCCTGCAGCAAAGACAAACATCCCCTTCAAGCCCCCTCCCAATTTCTTCTGGAAATTCGAAAGAATTTCTAATTTTTCTTTTTTTTTCCAGAGCTTTCCCCCCAGAACCTCCCTCTCTAATGAGCTCTAAGCAGCAACTTAAGCAGATTTCCAAGGCATCACCTGGAAAGAGACTGCGGTGCTCAGCACTGGGATGAAACCCAGAGGTATTTTCCTGTTAGGAGAAAGCATCAATCTCTCCTGAGCTTTGAGGAAACGGGGGTGGGAGTGCTCGGGGGAAGATTTATGGCTTTTTTTTTTTGTTAAGGAAGCTCTTCCCTGGAGCGTTTCACCGAGCTGCTCTGACATCCCTCTGACCTGCCGCTCAAATCCCTGGGAAATCAAACCTGAGGCATTGGGAAGGGAACAGGCACYGCTCTCCCACTGCTGGCAGCACGGGGATAGATGGGGTTTTCACCCACAGACCTCAAGATCAGGGTGCAGAGCCCTGGTTTGGGGTGCTCAGACCCAGAATGGGGGGCAGAGTCCCAGGTTTGGGGTGCAGAAATCCAGGTTTGGGGTGCAGAGCCCTCTCCATCCCAAATCCCCAATGCCCAGGGAGCTGCTGCAGAGCTCAGGTCCCTTTTACTGCTTGGAGTGACAATAAAACAACGAAGGGGAGACAAACAGCAGCAAAGCCACCTGTCTCCCCGGAAAAGGGGGTCCCCCCAGCCCTCAGGGGGCTGTCACCTCGCTGCTGCCAAGGCCACAGGCACAGAAACCCCAATTGCTGGTCCAAAGCCCCTGGACCGAGCTGGCCACGACACCCCCCCCGAGCCCTCTGCGGTCCTTAAACGTCCCAATCCCGGTTCCAGCGCTCTCCCAGCTCATCCTGCCCCAGACAGCAGCGCCCGGGCCAAACTCAGCTCGCCAGCCCCAAATCCCTCCCCATCCCTCCCCATCCGCAGGGCACACAAGCGGGATGGAGTTTGCTCCCGGCACGGATAAGGACTCATCCCAAACTTGCCGAAACACAAGGATTCGGGCTCTGCACTGCCCCATGGCCCTCCCCAGCCCCCCACGGGGGACACATCCCACCCGCTCCCCGCGCTTTACCTGGACTGGTACCAATCCTCAGGGCTCTGCGGGCARCGCGGGGATGCCCGGGCGGCCCCGGCATCCGCCGAGCTGTGTCCGCTCCCGCGGGGTGAGGGATGCTCCGACCCCCGAGGCCCGCCCGGCCGGCGGTGGGGACCGGGCAGAGCCCCCCCGCTCCGCCCGGGGGTTCCCGAGCTCAGCCCCGGGCTCCACGGATCCCCCCAAGCCCGGGGAGCGGGGCACGGTGCGGGTGCAGAGCCCAGCCCCTCCGGGGGGATCCGGGCTGTGCCCCCACACCCGGGATGCTCCCCAGCGCTGCGGGACCGGGAGCGGCTCCGCTCCCTCGCCCGGCCCAGCCCAGCCCGGGGCGGAGCCGCCGCTCACCCGCGCCGGGAGCTGGGCGGGCTCTGCGCTCCCAGACCCTCCCCGGGGCTCGGCTCAGCCCAGCCCGAGCCCCCCGGCACAGCCTGGGCACCCCGAGGGGCTTCCGCTCCGTTCTGCCTCCCAGGCTCCCGGCTTGCCTCAGGAAGTTGCCATAGAACCATTCAAAAACCCTCAAAAAAATCTCTCCAAATCCTGCAAATCCACCCCAAATCCCAGCCAGGAGTGAGGAGCGMCGAMKCCAGCTCCCTCATCCCAYACCAGAGACCCTCTGCGGAGYGCTTGGCCACACCAGCCTTCYCCAAATCCCAAAATCCCCCTTCCCAGAGACTCCCTGCTACATCCCACAGCACCTCTGCCTCTCCAGCTGCTCCTCCCCACGGGGCCTGCCGAGTGTTCCGCTCCACGGGGTCCCGTGTCCCCTCCCTCTGCCCCACAAAGCGTGCAGAGCACCTTGGGTTCTCTGGATCATCACGCCAAAGCCGAATCCTTGGGTTTTCCCTTGTCCCAAACAGCTCCCAGCTGCGTGTCCCTCCTGGATGTGCCTGGGAAAACCCATGGGATCCCATCCCTCTGCAGCAGAAAGTGGAACGTTCTGGGATCTCTTTCTGGCCCCAAAAGCCCCTGGGACAGTTTGGCTCCGTGCCCACCCCACCCGTGACGATCGGAAAGGGTGTGGGCACCCTCCCGTGGGATCTTCCCTCACCCTACCTTCACATCCACAGTTTTCAGCCGCCTCAGCGACTTCCAGGGCAGCAAGGAGCAGTTTTGGWCAGCAGGAGAAACGCTTGGATAGGAGAAAATTGAGTAATTGCAATTTTGGGGGGGAAAAAAAAAGCCCCTGAGGGAAGGTGGGGTCAGGAGCCACGGAGCAGCGTGGCTTTCCAGAGGATTCCTGCAATTCCCAGGAATATCCACTACACCCAACCGCAGCCCAGCTCAGCCCTGGCTGCAGGCTCTGGGAAGATCCAGGGAGGGCAGCACTGGGAGATGCTCCCATGATCTTCCCAATAGGAAGTTCATTTTCAGGACAAAACAGCACGTTCTGACCATACCAAAAACGCTGCCTGGGTGGGAGCGCKGCCCCATCCCACTGCCAAGGCTCCTTTCCATGGAGCTTCCCAGCTCTTCCTCTGGGTGCAGCTGGAAAAGAGCAGGCCACGGTCCTTCCCCACTTCCCAACGCTCCTCTGAATTCCCACGGATAAGGCCGGCTATCCAGCCCCTCCTGCAGGACACCAGACTGTGGGTAAAGGTGATCCCCAGAGCTGTTTCAGATGGGATCAGATCAGGCTCGGGTTTGGAAATCTCCACATGCCCCAGCTGGATACCTGGATTCACCCAGCCTCACACAGACACCACCTCACCTATTAAACATCCCTCCTTTTTAAAGGCAACACTTCCCTTTGGCCAAGCTCTCCCTGGAATCAGGGAGTGACCATGGGTGGGACACCTGCTCCAGGTGAGATGGACACAGGAGCCTGGAAGCAGGAGCTGCCACCTCTGCCCTCTGCACAGGGAGGGTCCCATTTCAGGCCACACCAAATGTTATTCCCATGAGGACTCTTGGCTTCCCTCCATCTCCTCCCTATATTATTCCCATTAGGACTCTTGGCTTCTCTCCATCTCCTCCCTATATTATTCCCATGAGGATTCTTGGCCTCTTTCCACTTCCTGACCAAAGCTGCAGGATTTTTCTGGATATTCCTCACCAGGTGTTGCCAGCGCAGGAAAGAATCCCTTTTGCAGGAGGTCTGTCCCCCAAGCACCTGGCCACCACCCCAAGTGAAGATTCCCAAATTCCCAACTGCCCTGTGTCCACTTTTTATGGGTGGGAAGTATTTGGGACACTAAAGCCGGGAGAAATGCAGATGTCTGTCATTCCCCATGAGACCAAACCGGATTAAAACCCCAGCTGTGTGCTGGGCAGCAGCTGCCACTTCAAAAATTTGGGGTTGCACTCTTGGAATTGCTCTGCGGTGTCATTCATGTAATTTTCCCCTGGATAAACACTAAATCTGAGAAGCAGCCAGATTGGATTGAGCGGTGACAGGGTGACATCAGCGCCCGGGACAGCGACACGAGGGCTCGCAGCASAGGATACAGAACCCATGCTCAGTGGAACTCTCACGTTTTGGAATAATGACCCGGGGAAACACAGYAGCCCAGGCTTCCAACTCCTTTTCCAGGATGCTGAGTCACCAGCAGAAACACAGGCTGGCTCAGGATGCTCTGCTGTGCCAGGGACGTGCTTGGCCTGGGCTGCTGCTGGCAGGCAGCGGGGACAGGGACAGGAACAGKGACAGTGACTGACTGCAGGAAGAGCTTTCCCAGAGATCCCTCACTCTGGAGCTACCCTGGGAGGAACCAGAGCCTGCTGCGCCCAGACCCCGGGATCAAAACCCTCCCAGGGAAGGCACAAACCAAGCTGAGGATAAAGCAAAGAACTCCAGACCAGCAGGACACTCCCACTTTCTGCTTGTGACACGTTTTACTCCGCAGAGCAAAGGCAGGTTGACCTTTCTCACTTCACCTTCCCTTACATTTAAGAGATGACCGAGACTAGAAGAGAAATTAAAAATAAGAGCTAAGGAGAAGCTGTCTGTCTCCCCAGAGCCGGGACACACCACCTGGATGCTGGATTCGGCRGGATGCCCTGCGGAGCGGCCGGAACGTGGTGCGGTGTGGGACACCCTGTGCAAGGAGCACAGCTCGGCCACAGGACCCCGAGCACCCGCGGCCACCTCGCCCAGCACTTCCCCCAGTCCTCCTCCGYGGCTCCAGGCAGTCCCAGCAGGCGGGACAGAATCCATCTCCTGCGCCTGGTCTCCGTACACTCCGAAACAAGTGTTCCTAATGCCCGAGCGCCCCGCGGAGCTCTCKGCTCCCGGGGGATGGAGCAGCAGATCCAGGCGTGCCGTGCTCCGAGCCCTCCGTCTCCGTAGCCAGCTCCCTCCCTCCGCACAGGCTTCCCGAGGAGAGAGGGGGGCTGTGCCGGCGCCGTCCTGCCCMGCGAGGATTCCCGCACGCCGGAACGCTAACAATGACGAGTAGGAGTTGGGTAGGATAAGGTTGGGACTGCGCACCGGGCCCGCTCGGGCACCACCAGTTCCTGCGGGCGCCGCGGCCGCGCTCAGAGCTTCCTCTCCCGGAGTTTGCTCCCGTCGGGCTCGTCCAGCAGGGCTGGGTGTCTGTCCCCGTTGCTCAGGCATTTGTCCTTGTCGTGTYTGTGCTCCTGCTTCTGCCGCCGGATCTCCTTGTAGCGCAGGGTGATGTCCCTGCAACACACACGGCGCACAATTCCAGCCTGCGGGAAGGACAGCGAGGGACCCGCCCTGCACGGAGCTTCCCAGGGATAACAGCTCGCTGGAGCCTCTGGCTGGRCATTCCTACCACTGCACTGGAAGTTTGTGGTTTTGGCTGGTGGCTTGGCTCTTCCCACCTCTGCAAATCCTGCAGGAGTAGCCCCTGCTGCCCCCTACACACTGCACTGCAGTGCCAAGGGTCATGRAATGGTTTGGGTTGTGAGAGACCTTAAAGCCCATCCCATTCYCACCCCTGTCATGGGCAGGGAYCCCTTCCACTATCCCAGGGTGCTCCAAGCTCCATCCAACCTGKCCTTGGGCATTTCCAGGGATGAGGCAGCCACAGCTTCTCTGGGMACCCTATGCAAGGGCCTCAGCACCCTCACAGGGAAGGATTTCTTCCCCATATCCRATCAAACCCTGACYTCTGGCAGTGGGAAGCCAGTCCCCCTTGTCCTACTCCTCCAGCTCCCAATACGCAGAGTCCCTCTCCAGCWTCCTTGTGGGCCCTTCCAAYACTGGAAGGCTGCTAATTCCTTAGGCCCTGTGCAGCTGCYTTCTGTGATCCTGAAAGGAAACTGCCAGGATCAGCCCCCGAGAACTCCCTGTTTATTTCAAGATTTACACCCACCCAGCAGAGCTGTGTCCTCGTAGCTCTGGGGGTGCCAGTGGCACCGTTTGAGGACGGGTGTTGGACAGATCCCCCTAAAACCCTGGCCAGCCCCAAAAGCAGCCCCACTGACCGAATGAAGAAGCGCCAGGCTGTCCAGGTGAGCACCAGGATAATCCCCAGGATCCAGCACTGGGTGATGTAGAAGGGCAGGGACAGGGTGAGCGTGTAGGGGTCGTACTTGACGACAATCAGGAACTCCGTGGCAGTAATAGCAGCGACCAGCCAGGCCTGCTGGCCCAGCTTCTTGTGGAACTTCCTGCAAGAGAAACACAGACAAAAGCCATTTCATTGCTGTAAAATCAGGGGTGTGGAGTGCTCTGTGCAAAAAGACAGCTGGGGCAGCAATTTCGTTCAGCTTTGCGCAGCTCTACGAGCTTAGCTCAAATCACACGTGCACTAAGGCTCTGCAGGCTGTGTTACTGCTGGTGTTACTTCAGTTTCCTCTCAAGAGGCTCCAAATGCAAGAAAAGTCAAACTGCATCACCCCACAAYGCAGGGAGGTGTCCCCATTCCCTGCTAAATCGGCACAAAACAATTCTCTGACCAGCCTGAGACCGCCTGATGGACACACACAAGAGCAGAGTCTGACGCCAAAGCACAGCTCAAGCTACACCAAACCATCCACATACACTGGGAAAAACACAGAGTAAATCAAGTGTAGGTGATTGCTGACGCAGAGGGGATGAGTGCATTCCTGCTGAAAAGGAATCCTGCCTGGATCAGCTGGGATGAAAGGGCTKCAGGAACTGCTCCAGGTGGTGACAGATTAAATGGGCAGAGACCAGCCCTAAGCCACGGGCAGGGAGATGAAAGGAAGCAGCAGATCCCTCACAGGGAATTCCAGCTGCTGGGATGATGAGGGCAGCTTTCTGCTCTGCTGGGCTGCTTCCTCCTCTGACAGCAGAATGAAAGGTAACCCCAATGCAAGAGCTGGGCAGCCCCTAAAGCTGCTGAGGAAGAGAGCTGGTTTCCTGCCCTGATACTCAGGGAAGGTCTGAAACATTGTTCTTGTGATGAGTGAGATAAAAATTCATGGTGTCAAAGCAGATTCCTTGGAAATGACAGGAAGATTCCAATCAGGAATGTGTGGCCAGGTCAAATGTTACAGGCTGCTGCATCAAGACACTCCTGGTCAGGAACATTTCACACGTGCAGTCCTCAGGAACTCAGAGGCAGCATGTGGATCAGCATGGTGGTGCAGTGTGGTGTGGGAGGGCTGGRGAGCAGCTTCACCCCTCTTCTGGGACTGTGGCAATTCCAGGCACGTCACTGCCACCACGCTCAGCCCAGGGTCCTGCAAGCAAAGCCCAAGAATTCTCTGCGGATACTCAGAATCCCGGATGGGAAAAAGAGTCTTCATCTTGGRATTTCACTGCTTTCTAGATGCAGCACTGCAGGGCTGGCTGAGGACCAGTTCATCCCAGACAATCCCATCAACACCAGACAAGACAGCGAGGCATGTTTCTGTCAAGGAAGGKCAATGGAATATTCCAATGTTTGAACATTAAGAGTTTCCAAAGGGAAAAGGTCAGCAAGGTTTCCCACGTGATGTAAGCCTCTGGTACAGCCTGCTCTTCCCAGCAGCTTCTCCCTACAACACTGTGGGAGGAATCCTGAAGGATCCTTGGCTCCAAAGGATGTGCAGGTGAAGCTGGCAAACGGGGGCAGATCCTCTATGCCTGGATGGCCCGGAATGCAGGAAGGAATCRCAGCCTGGCTGCAGAGGGCACTGCAGAGAAGGCACCAGGTGAGAGAGGGCACTTGGCTCTGTCCTTCTGCAGGTGATGTCAGCTTTGGGGGGCATCAAGCAGAGCCAGGATGTGGGGCAGTCACCTCCCCCAGCAGGGAACACGACGGGGACACGTGGCTCAGGATGAGCCGCTCCGGCTCCAGAAAGAACGGCCACGATTGGAAACGGGGACAAGGCAGCGGCAAGGGATGGCTCTCCCAAATCTCAGTGTTAGGCCACGTGGTTGAACAGAGGGCAAAGGAGCTTTTCCAACCCCAACACAAGAGGATGAATGGTGCTAAGGAGAGGAGCTTGGCAGCGAGGCAGAGGCTCTTCTTACCTGTGAGTTGGAGGCACGTCCCAAACCAGGAGGTCCAACACCAAGGGCAGGGCATCCTGCCCCTGCGGAATGTGCTGAATCCCGACTAAGCAATGTGGGCTGGCCCTTCTTCCCAGTTCTAGGAGTCAAAGCCTTGCAAGGGAAACTGATCTTCAGACCATGTTGGAACCCTAAATTCTGAACACAGACACTTTTTTGCGTTGGTCAGTGACAGACAATGAACACCCCTGGAAGCCAGACGGTGCCTTAGGCTGAGGATGTGGGCTCAGGCAGGTTGTGACATTAAAAGAAAAGGTGATTTTGAGAACAAAGCTTTCTCAACTCTCACATGGTCTGCAGAAACAAAAGCAGCGAGGACAAATATGATGCTGAGGTGGGAACAGTCTCGAGTACATGCACTGCTGCGTGTGGGGCTTCACCTGCAGCACATCCTGCTACCGAGGGCCTCTGACCTGCAAGAGGATGCCAGGAAAGCTCCAGAGGGCCAGGRRGAAGACAGCTCAAGGRAAGAAGTRCCTTTAAGAATCACTTTTTGATTTTAATCTGGRGCCTGATGTCCCCAGAGGGCACATCCGGGGACTGCAGCTCCCTGTCTGGGATCGGAGTGCGGCGCTCCTGTGCCCATGAGCCKGGAGCACTCCGGCTCATTTCCATGCTCCCTTCTCTACAGAGAGACCATTTACCAGACACTGAGGTGAACACAGTGCACACACGATGCCCTCAACAACAGCTGCTCTCTGACCCGGGGGGGACGTCCAAAACAAAGGAACACGAAGSGGATGCTTTGGGATTAGGCCTTTCTGTCCCTGACAAGCTGGGCTGGTGCCCGAGATGGATGCCAGCAAGCTGGAGCAAGGTCAGAACAAAGCACGTGGAGCTCGGCATGGGAAGTACAGAGAGCTGGGGCTTACGGGTCATCCATGAAGTCGTAGATCTCCCTCATGGCCACTCCTCCCACGTTGACAAAAAACACGAGGCGTAGCAGCACCAAGTAGTGTTCGGGGGGCATCCAGAGCACAAACTTCAGGTAAAACGTGTTCAGCTCTGCCAATAAAAACTGGGAGAAAGGATGATTTTGTTACATTCAGAAAATCAAAGCGGGTAAAGCCTGGAATGTCCCTCTCTTCCATGCTTGCATCTCAGCCCTGCTCAGTATCGCTGAGTGAACCATCAGCACCAACACCAAAAATGACTGGGTTTTTAAGCATTTCCTCTGTGTTGGAAGAGGCACTAAAAACCACAAAAAAAAGCTGGATAAGCAGTACCCTCAAATTTCCAACTTCAAACAAAGGGCCTGAAGTACCTGCAGAAACACCGAGGACAAATCCCAAAAAGCTTTTCCTTTCCCTGTCCTTTAAAATCCGGCTGAGGGAGCCCCACCACAAYAAAAGGCATGAGCTGCACATCCTGGGGGGTTGGGCTGTTTTCTCTCCRTTATGCAAATGCCACCCTCGAAGCCAACTTGGGAAAGTTGATTATAAACTAAGAGCAAAATGTTCTAGAGCAGCTGCCCTGGCAATRCGCTTCAGGGAGCAGAGAGACACCAGATTGTCACTTCAAACAGAGTGATAACAAAGGGCATTAAGCACTGCTTAAGCCAAAGGAGGGAGCCAGAACCTGAAGCTGCTTAGAACCTGKCAGCTGAAGCTGGGATGTGCTAAAAGAAACATAATCCCACAGTCCAGCATAAATTCACCAGGATCTMTGCTGCAGCAGCACCTAAACCCCAATTTCTTCAGGGTGCAACCAGCAACATTTTGGGGAAACACCTATTTACACTTTTACTTCTCCCACAAAGCAGGCCTGGCGTGCCATGTGAGCTCGGCCAATGTGTCCTGCAGCAGGAATCAGGTGCTGGGAGCACTCTGTTCTGGCAAAACACAAGAGTTTTGTCCTGTGCCACAGGAACTGGCTCATACCCAGTGCCTCTGGATCACCACGAGTGTCACGGGGTTAGTTTTTGTTAAATTTCACAGCTGCTGGGTTGAAGTAAGTTTGAGTTGCTCACAGCAGAGCCAAGTGACATGCCACGGATGGCACAAAGGCCAAAGTCCCCTGGCTGGCTAAGGGACAGGAGTGGGGAAAAGGCCACTTAAACTGCCCAGTGTCACGCGGGTGACAAGCTCTGTTTCACAGACACGTATGAATTTCAGATGCTGCACTCCCAGTGTGAAACAATTCCACCCACTCAGGTGCTGTGCATGCAGTGAAACAGMAAATAAAGAAAAACCTAGGAGAACTGAATTATTTAAGCACAGTTGTGCTTCAGGAGTGAGCCTGAGGCCTTGAACACAGCCCTTTCCASCTGCAACGTGACCTGTACCTGCACAAAACCAAGGGATTCGTGACACTTTTACCCACAGCCAATGCTCTGGGGGGCAGCAGCTTGCTGAAAACCCAAAGATGCCACTTTATTTTGCTCCCATGCTCCAACAATGTTCAGCAGGCAAGGACAACCCTTTCTGCAGGGAATGTGTCACCTGTCCCAGAGACACGGACACAAGAAGAAGGGAACCATCCCAGCCTCAGCTTCAGGAGCATCCCCAGGGCTGCAGCCTGAGTTCCAGAAGCTGCAAGAAGGGGTCAGAGGGGTGTCCTCACCACAAAGATGATGCCACAGACTGCGAGCCACCTGCGCAGGCTGGAGGCCGGCTTCCACTCAAACTTCACCCAGCTGTACGGGGTGAACTGGAACACGATCCTCTTCATCTTGCCCCTGGAGAAAAAGCAAAATAACTGCTGCAGCTTGAAGGAAGAGCAAGCAAGAGGCATCTGCCAGCGCTCCCATCTGAGACACCAGTTCAGATATGCAAAATGCCTCCGTTTACTGCATTAAAATCACAACTTAATGAGATTAGCTCTGAGCTTGTTATTTTAATTATCAATTTAGGCTTTAATATACTAGACCYTCTGTTGTAGGCAGTTCTGCTCTGCTCAGCAAAGACACTACAGAGCAGCATGGGTCATTACTGGTACACGACTACAAGGGATTTATTAAATTTTAATTCCCAGTGTCCCAGTTCCTGTGAAGTTCTGGTTACCAGGGAATGCWAAAAGACCAAACAGATCCTCGCTGTGAATTGGAGTATGATGCCAATTTGGATTCCTGCATCTCTTTAAATGATTTCATCAAATAATCTCACCTCCACAGGATGCCCTCCCTCCCAGCCATCAGATAATGTTTGGGACACACAGGTGTATTCCCAACACAATTGGGAATTCACAATAAAACTCTCAAACAAACCTCCCTGCTGCAAGAACTCACTGGATCCTGGAGCCACCCAARCACCCAGGAATTCTTTAATCCACATTTACTCAGACTGAACAACCAAGCTCTTRAACAGGGGCCCGACCTTTGTGCTGTGCCTGTGGAGTTCCCCTCTCCCCAACTTACTTGTAGGTTGGAATGTTCCAGAGTCCTTGCCACTTGTAGGTTTTCAAGGAGAGCCAGGACAGGGTCTTCATCCCGCAGTAAATTCCTAACCCGTTACATAAGATCACATCCATTATCCACTGGAAGGAGAAACACAGGAGTGATGCTGGGGAAGGAGCACTAGATTTTGGGAAAGGGAATCAAGATGGTTTCACCTCCAGGGAGCGGGACAGAGTATTAATTCCACAGTTTTCTGAAGGCAGAAAAGCTTGGCTTGATGTCTCCAATAATGCACCGACTTTTATAAATGGAACAGCAGAGCAAAGCATTCCAAGCTTGAGTCTTTCCCAAAATCCATCCAAACACAAAGCCAAAGCTGGGAATTCTGATCACTCTGGCACCAAGTGACACTTCTCAGGAACATAAAACTTAATTTTAAAAGGGCGTTCCTTAAAGCTCACACCAGTTTTGCCCCTCTCTATATTTCAGACTTTATACTTTGCACCACCAGCAAGTATTTGAAAGTGCCCAGGTACAGCTTTAGGTTCTCCCTCTGGTGTGAAATGAACCCAAATATTTAACAAYGTGCAAGTGTCTGAAACCCACAAAATTACAGAAATGGTGACAAGCACCTCAAAAACTCAACAGGGAGCAGTCACACGCRGGATACAATTCAGCTCCCACCATTTCCTAGCCCTCCCCATAAAATCTGCATTCCCAAATAAATCCTGAGCCCTCAGTACGTACGTGATCCCACCAGCATTCACTGAAGTTTGGGAGCTGGTGCTCCAGGCTGTACTCCAGGAACTCAAACATGACACTGATGATCATGCACATCCACCAGTCCCGAATCATCAGAGTCTGAAGGGAGAAARAAGTCTTTCAAATACCCACTACAGCTGCTAAAAACCAGCCACAACTGTAGAAAGATACTGTCTCCATTATCCAGAAAAGGATCAGGATAATTTTATTTTCATGATGTGATGAAATGTCCAAATGCTCACAAGGCCTCTTCACTCATCATTTCCAGCATGMGAGACAACAAAGACACAGAAGAAAATCCCCTCTATTTCAGCCAAAACCAACACAGGAATAAAGATTATGACAATAATCTCATCACATGGAAGAAGAGAGACAGGTAAAATGGGATTCAGCAGGAGGGAAATTAGTTAAATGCATGGAATTACTGGGTGCTCAACCACCACGGGCAGCATCGTTCTAACAATGCTCAGAAAAGGCTTTTCAGAGCCTTTTATGGGCTCTAAACGAGTCCAAAGCCACAATAATTTCTGATGAATGAGGCCCATTCATTCTCAATATTGCCATCCTGGCGCTTTGAGATTTGGGGAAAAAATCCAAACACAAGCCCATCTCTGTTCATTGAGACAATACACTCAACCTCCAGCTTTTAATAGAGAAATAGGTTAATATTTAACATATTGCAGAGAAAAATATRCTGTGTCCCAGAGGAAATCCAGCAGCCAGTTTCCTTCCACCTGGGCAGCCCAGTTTCTAATGAAATTCTCTTGGAAGAAAAGGATMCGAGTTTTCCACATTTACAACTCAGCTCATTAACAGAACAAGCTGAAGCCCAGGTTTCACCTCTGGTTTTGGGGGATCCCCCAAACCACTCACAGAATACATCACCACTTTCAAATGAAAACATAAACCAACAGTCCCAGCTTGTTTTTAAAACAACAAACCCAAACAAGATCTGCAGGGGGGCAGAAATCTCATGAGTTAGTCAGTCTGCTTGGGTTAAAAAAGGTARTATTTAGACCAAAGTAATCAGCAAAACACTGCTGAATGTTCTGCCTGAGACAGGCACAGCTGGAATTCCTTCCACAGTTGGCTGATACCGACTGAAAAGCAACAACAATTAAACCACTGCCTAATTAAAGGTTTAAAATCCTGATTTGATGCCACTGGGAAAGCAGCAGTAGCAGCATCTGTGTTTGGGACTAGGACTGCCACTGCCAAAGGTCATTCCAGCATTTTGGTAGCTACAGGAATGAAGTTCCCTGTTGATCTGACCCCTGAATGAATCCCTGTGCAGGAAGGAGGGAGCCTCCTGCTGTAGCAAAGCTTTAGAAAGATATTAGGTGGCCTAACATGGGCAGGAGACAAAAAAAAGGGGGGAAAATGTTGTTTATATATTTCCATGTGTTTTCATGTRTTACAAACACAGGCTGGTATAACTGACCATGGCCTGGCACCACAAAAGCAGAGCAGGAAGGTTTTTGGAGCAGAGAGTCACAGTACCCAAGGACAAGAGCCATTCTTACCTTCAGGTACCAGCCAAAAAAGTGAGCAGGAACAAATCCATCCAGCTTGTCCTGGAAACCAGAAGAGAGTGGAGGTCACAACTTTTTTTAAAATCTTTTTTTCCAAGAAAAATGCAGCAATAAACTTCCTTTTTTTTTTCCACACATAAACACTTGCATTCCTTCATCAGGAAGGAATTCAGCAGAGCTTCTGAAATCTTACCAGCCCTGCCAGTCCCTGGGCACAGTGCCTGTCCCTCTACTTTTACAAGATCCCAGTTACTGCAGTCCCTGATGCACAGAAGAGCTGCAGSGCAGACCCAAAGGATTTGGTGCTACTCACTCCATGAAATCTGGGARCTGTAAATGACCTGTAAATGTAAACCATTCCTCTGCCCTGGAATTCCTGCCAGCCAGAAACGATAACCTGATGGGTTCTGGTACCCAGGAAAGTGCTGCTGGAACAACCTGGACTAGTGGAAGGTGTCCAGGTCCTTCCTGGACTGTGGGGTGGAACTACATCATCTTTAAGGTCCTTCCCAACCCAAACCAATCTGGGATTCCAGGTTGCAGATTTTGGGCTTTGCACCTCACGGTGACCGAGGAGGAGACTCCTCAAGCACACAAATCCAAACTCTGAAGGGAAAATTGACACCAAGAACCTGAGAAAGAAGGGCTGCTGCACAGCTCACCCCTGGGCAATCAGGTAATTGGAATCCAGAGAGACACACCCCCCATGCCATGGACAGGAAAGGTCAAGAGAAGAGAAATGAGGGGGCTGAAGAGTCAGTCACTCAGACAGACTCACAACTGCACTCTGAAGAGTTCAATTACGCAGCTTTTCACCCCAAAATAGCCTCATCAGCGGGTTTGTTCCTCACCCAGATGTTGTGGAAGGGATCAGTCTCATTGCCAGGRTCATAAACCAGGCAGTTGCCCCCGTAGTCTCTCTCTGGCAGAGGAACCCCTAAGTGGGGGTCGATGTACTTCATGAACTGCCTCCCGTCCTGCACGGTCTGCAAGGGAACACAGAAACCAGGGATGTCCTSAAGGACTCAATACTGAAGGCACAAACACAGTTTAGGTCAACACTGATCTCCAAATTGACCTTTTTGCAAATTCATTGCTTTGCAAATTCATTGTTCAATTACTGAAATAAAGCCAAGCCTCGAAGCACCCCACACACATATSCGACTTGGAGCCTCTAATCCTAAATATTAAGGGAAAAAAAAGGCCACAAAATGACCTTAAATATAAGAAATTAGTGATCCTTAAGTCTTTTCCCCAAGCCTCTGTGCTCCCCATCTCTCCCAAAAGCTTCACACAGCTCATCCTTCCCAAACCTGATTTCCAGGGAGGTCCCACACAAACAGCAAAATAAAAATCATCAAAATGACCAAAATGCAAACTCATCTGTCAGTAAATCAGCCCCACATTTGCTGACTACTTATTTCCCAATGGAATCACTCAGTGTCATGGTCAAGGCTTTACCTTGGCAGGCAGCAAAGCAGGACAAGGCCAAAATTAATTAATAAAATAATAATAAAATTACAGAATAAMCTGCTGAAGTTACATGAACTCCAGGACAAGTTTCAGCCATGAGCAAGCTTGGATTTGCTGTCAGGAAGTTCAGMCACCTGCAGACTCAGCAGAATTTAACCTTATTTAAACCTGGGCAAGGCAATGATGTATTTTTAGTAAAGAGCTGAGCAGCACCAGGGAGTTCCTTAACCACTAAATCTCTGCTGACACCACACACTGCCAGAGGGAAGCAAAGCCATCCCAGGCTTTTCTGTGAAATTCAGAACTACACCAGAACAACCCACAAAAATTACTTGGTCTGACTGCAGCTACTCCGGAATCTCATGCTCAAGGATGGCTGGAAAAAAACAGGGTGACCAGCCCCATTTCTTCAAGGCCTCTAGAGGAAAAACTTAAATAGGAAAAAAAATAAAGGTACTCCTTATCATCCTCTCATGTAAAATGATTTTTAGAGCTGCCTGACGAGTATATTGTCTCAAAATGTTTGATTTCAACTTCTGAGAGCTGTAAAAATCAGGGGGAAATTCTCAGTTTACCAAAGGACAAGATACGGTAAMATGTGGTCCAAAAAGAATGTGGTAAAAGYTGTTTTATTTGGAAGCACCAAAGGMATGTCTTTCTATGAAAAACCTCCTCCTGAGCTCCTGCCACCACACAAAGCTGGGTGTGAAGTTTTGGTTTATTGCAAAAAGCCCACACCCACAAAGAACCTGTCATTCACCGTAAAAGTTATTTCTAAAGGTGAAACCAGGTGAACTCCCCCTGAGTCACAGCAAGGGAGAGCCTGGACATGTGAAATGCCACCTCCTGAACGTGACCTCTCTCACCAGCTCACCCAAAACCACTCCTGCAACGTGTCCACCCTGTGCTGAGGGGTGATGGGAGGTCAGACCAGCCGAAATGTTTTTATATTATCATTTCCCTCAGCCTCAAAGTCTCARTAAACAGCCCAATAACTGCATTTCACAAAAATGAGGAGCATCTCCTGCAGTCAGCAGGGAAAAAACCAGCACCATGAAGGAGCTGATTTCCACATRGAAGTGGAGATYATGGGAGTGAGGGGCTGCAGGTGTCAGTCACTCACCTGGAAGAGGATGAAGATGAGGAAGAGCTCGTAGACCACGCTGACACACAGCCAAAACCTCCAGTAAGCTGCAGAGAGACACAGGGGGGACRTCAGGAGCTTTGCAGCAGACCAGAAATTAATTATCCATTTACTTCAAYACCATGGAGTGGTTTGGSYTGGGAGGGACCTGCAATCCCATCCCATTCCATCCCCTTCCACTATCCCAGACTGTTCCGAGCCTGACCTGGCCTGGAACACTCCCAGGGACGKGGCAGCCGCAGCTTTTTAGGGAACCAATTCCATTTCAGGAGATGCTCCCACCACAGAACTACAAACCCCAGCTCCCAAGTAACATTCGCCACCCTTCCTGAGGGACAGAACCAGGAAAAATCTTCAACTCCYACACAGGGGGCCGTGTAACTTTGCTGGAATTGCTCAGGCACTGACCTGGATGTGGGAAAAGGGACCTGAATCTGGAAAACYTCAGCAGTTAAGAAGGGGAAGGAAGGGAATGTGCCACCTGCAACACTTTCCAGCAATCCCTGGAGGAGAACCTGAGGCTTCCTGAACTTTCTCCCTGGGCTCAGGTACCCAACCTGTCCAACCCTGGCTAACCCAGACAGGCCCAAGGCAGCCCAATTTCTGYTCATTCCAAGGTAATGGAGGCACTTTCATGTTTAAAGCAGGGCCAGGCATAAATTATGCAAGAATTAAACAAATTCCAGGCTTGCAAACAGARTTATCAGCTCAGAACCCCAACTCAACTCCCTACTCCCCATGGAGCTCCTCAGGAAATGTTTTGTCCCAAAACAAAAAGTGTCTTTGCCCCATTCAGCCTCTGGCAGGAAATAAATTATGAAAAAAATGAAAAAAACAAACCTCAAAACTACAAAGAAACAGTAAAAAAAAAAAAAACCCAAAACTCCACACCAACAAACTCCACACATTTTTAAAAGCAGTTTCTGACACCATTGTTAATATAGACCACAATGTGGAAGGTGGGACCTTTTTGCAGCCAGCCTGCTAAATTAATTTCATCCAAATCACCTATTTTACACTTCTGGAAAATAAAAAGGAAGGGAAAATAAAAAAGGCAGGCGTGGCCCAGATAACAGCAGTTCAGAGCCCTGTGACAGCTTTCACACTCTTGTCTTTCCAGAATGCAGAGCTCAGGAAAAAGCAAACAGCAAAAAAAACCCTATCCTTTGGTCACAGGATTATTTGGAAGAGAGGAACCTCTTCCCAGGCTGGCACCATGCTCAAGCCAGCAGGGAGAATTCTCCACACTTCTCTCACCGAGCAGTTTCTTTTAAATATCACTGCCAGATGCCACAAAATGCTGGTTTTTCTGACCCATAAACCTTGTATGAGAGATTTTACACTGCTCACAATCAGGAATTTGACAGGCGGGCCCTGAATGTGATGCAGACACAGAAGGCAGAAAAAATCTAAATCCTCATCTGAGCTTTTATTCCCCTCTGTACACAGGGCTGTGGCAGCTGCCGAGCAGGCTCAGCAAAAAAAGGTAATTAAAAATTGAGATCTGGCTCTGATTTTGTGCTGTGGCTTCTCCCCAGCTGACTGAGGTCTCTGAGAGGTTCTCAACACACTCAATACCAGCACCCCAAATGTTTCCAAGCCTGCACAAACACTGTTCTCTCTCCTCCTGGGCCAGCCTCAGGTTATTTTTTCACATCTCCCAAATTCACTTTCCATTTTGCCTCYCTCAAATCAAGGCCCTCCTCCTGATTTCATTGGTCTCCACTGATCATTGACAGACAATTGAGTGATTTCCTGTGATCCAACATTAAACTGCTGCCTTTGCAGGGATTTGGGAACAGGGCATGAGCATCCCACAGAGCTGATCCCACCCAGCCTGTTTCCCTCCTTGCACTCAGAGCTCAGTGCACTCTGCCTGAGGGGCTAAATGAGTAAAAAAACACAAAAATCTGGGTTGTTCCCAAGGAAGACACTTGTCCTGGAGCTGCTCCTCCCAGTGTCACCAGTGCTGCCCATGCCTGATCCTTGCCTGCACATTCCCAGCCATCCCAGACCCTCACAATTCACTCCCCAAACAGCTCGTGCTGTCACACACGATGTACCCAGTCAAAATAACTCCTGGCAAAGGCTGGGAACGTTAAAAGCTGCTTCTTRGAGCATTCATAACTGCCATGGAAAATTCCTCTGGAATGACAACGTGGATGTGTTATCTTGACAGAGGCAATAAAGCATCCCTGGGCTGCTGCAAYGCCAGGCTCCAGAAAACGAGTTGGCAGGGAGAGTGAAGAACATCTCTTATCTGCAAATCCTAAGGAGACAGGCTTGTGATGCTGGCTGCATCCAGCATTAATTTTACYAGGAAATGCTCCCCAAATTTGGCTGCTCACCCACCAATAAATGGACACTTTAAGATCTGTCCCTTGTTCCACACTGGGTCAGATAAAGGGAGTGCTCGTCTTTGGCCAGAAGGTTTGGATGGAACCAAAGCCAGCAGAAAATGGGATAAAAGCAGGGCAAGCTGGTAAAGACTTGCCCAAACAGTCATACCTACTTATTTCCATGATAATCCTACATTTCTGAATTACAAGGATGCAACTCGTGTGTGTCCACACAGCAAATTATTGAACTGGAGAAACTGGGGGAATCAGTAGGAAAATGGCAGAGCTGGATGAGCTCTTGGCTAAAGCTGGGAATGCTGAAAAGGYAGCCAAAAAAAGAAATAAAGCCACCAGTCTGGACAGGTGCCACTTAGGTGGTGGCTGGGATCAGTTTCCTTAATGGCCTTAGTGAAAAGTAGGTTAATGACACATAGCAGGAGCAGTAGGGAAGGCAGGGACAGCAGAGAAGAGATCCCAAGGGACTGGAGTGACAGAGGAGCTCCTAACACAGCTCTACGCTCCAGAACTTGGAATTTGGGAAGCGTCACACTATCACAAAAATCCCCAAAATAACCCTGCAGCACTGGAGAGGACATTTGAAAGCAGAAAGCTCGAAACAATGCCGAAATGTTATGGGGAAATGTTAYAAACAAAAGGCAAACCTCCCTGCTTTGTTCTAGGGAATAAAACCAGCCCAGACACACCCACTGGTGTTCCAAACGTGGGTGCACCCAAGGGCCACTGGTGTCCTTAAAAAGAGCAAGTGGTTTTACAGGAGGAACCACAAWCAACTGGAACAGAAGGGAAGACTAAAACCTGCTACTTAATAAAACCCCAGAAAGGTAAATTTAATAAAACCCCCTGGTTTGCAGAGGTGTGCTGAGGGCTCTGGAACCATGCCTGCTCTGGCTGAGGGTTTGGGGTGTCTGCTGGGTTACATTTTTGGCACAAAAYCCAGCTTTATTTGGCTGTAGGAGAACCCAATGCTTTCAGAAATACTATTTGAGCCTGTATGAATTCCCTTAATTCTTTCTCTTTCAATGATTCACATCTGAAAAACGGCAAAAGATCAAAGATATTTAAATATTTTCACGTTTCACCTGCTATTACATTATGTGGAAGAGGCTTGTGTTGTGCTTTCAAATGCTTTCAAGGCTTCCAATCTTACAAGAAACCTTTAAAATCATAACCAAGGGCCTCTAATCTCCCGTGGATAATGGACATGGAGCTAAGGAACTGCTCCAGCACTGGATACATGGTCWCAAGTGCAGTCCCAGCACAGAGAGGAGGCAAAAAAAAAAACAGATAAAGAAGGGAAATTCAGGTTTAAGAACCTGGCAGTTCTCACAGAACTTTTCAGCAACAACAGGAAGCCAAAGCAGGGAGATCCAAAGGGATCTCCAGGCTCCATGGAAGCCCAGCAGTGGAGCAGCCACTGAGGAGCCTCTGCAATTATTGAAATTACAACGTACCTGCTCTCCAGGCAACACAAACATTTACCTTCCCCTCACAGCAGGCAGCTCCTCAGGAGTGTGAGCGAACCCAGCAAGGTGAATTACCTGGGTGAGGCCTTGAGAATGGTCCATCCTTAGCTTGTGTCACCCCGAAACACAAGAAAACCAAAATGCTGGCGACGATTCCTCTGGAAGGAAAAACAAAACACACCAGTTTATTGCTTCATYCTCCTCCTGGACTGCAAATTGTGTTCTCTGACATGAGAAACGCCTGGCCCCTGTTTTTAAACTGCTGAGTGGGTCCATCTCAAACAGATCCAGACACCATCCAGAAAAACCAACCAAAAAAAGGGCTGAGGATCACAGCAAGGCAAACACTTGGCAGTATCTGGGAGCGGCTCTGATTCCCACCAGGTCACAGAAACATGCAGGATTTTGCAGTGAGRGAGCTCTCACTGCTCCACTAGATTTCCATGGAATTTAAAAAGGAGCTGCCAGACTTGTCACCACTCCAAAACAGCTTCTTAACCAGCTGAAGACAAGGAGGAGCCTCCCAGACCACACCAGCACTGCTGCTATTTCAAGAGCTGGAACCACAACACAGCCTAAGGAAAATAACAGAGATTTGAAATAAAAATAAATTATCAGACCAGGGACCCAAATATACCAAAGAGCCACAACCCTGGGCACGCTCCTTTAGTTTTAATGGATTAAATGGCACAAAGCAATGCAAAAATGCTCTTTTTACTACACCTCAACTCCCACTGGATCCTGCCTGCTGTCTCATACCACCCACTTAAGAGCTGGCTGAAGGGATGGACAATTGGGAAAGAGCTCATTCCGTGTTTGCAGTAAATGATGCAACCCCTGACTGCAAATAAAATGGCTCAGTCTGCAGGAGCCACAGAAAACACCCAATAATTTTGCTGTCAGACTGAAAAYGTTACAAACCAGAAGCAACAGGAGACTGTTCATGCCTTAAACACATCAAAAATTTCTTTCAAAATAGAAAACTGAAGGATTTACAGAAACTATTTTGTAACATTCACCACTGAGTATAAATGTTTGTGCTTCCTGAAAACCAAAATGGGGTTTAGTTAACAGACGTAGCTCAGTTATTTTGCTTGCTTTAAACACTGGGAAGCACACCAGAATTAGCTGMTGAATGGATCTGTGAATAGACAGTTCCATGGGGATTTCCAAAGTTCTGGAGGGCAAAACCCTTTCAGCTGACCTCCAATAATGAGAATATTCTGCATTTTGAGTCCCTGGTTGCATCTGGAAGCTCCAGTCCTGTGTAGTGTGACAAACTCATGAATTGAGGGCTCCAGACCATTGCTCTGGGCCTTGCCTGGGAGGGTTGTTTCCCCAAAGCTGGAATTCAAATCCTGGATCCAAAACACCATGGGAGCTTAGCTGTGCTCTTTCTTCTAAAACCCACTCTCAGCCCAAGAGCAGCTGTGCTGAAAACATGCTGGGGATGCAGACACATTCATTWACTTCAAGTTCACCGTGGGAAGTTTGGAAGCAAATCACAAATTTGCATAAATAACCACATCAGCTCCATTATTATTTTTTTTTCTCAGTGGTAACTAATTTTTCCCCCTTATCATCATTAATCTGCCTCCTCAGGACAATTCCAGTGCCTCAGCAGCAGCCTGGCATGAGGCAGGAATGCTCCAGCACCTGAGAGGGGTTCTCCTCTCCTCACCTAGATGGACACAGCCAATGGATTTTCCTGAGCAGCAAATCAGGACAGCACAAAACAGCACAAGTGTGCTCACAAAAATCATTTTAGCACTCAACCACATTAAAAAAAAATAAATAAAAGGGGGAGCCTGGCAGCAGCTCCATCAGCACAAACAAACTCTTGTTTGTGCTGAGAGTCGATTCAGACACACAGGACAATGAKGAGCTGTGTATGGCCCTTTGTCCTGGCATTCAAGGAGCCAGCTCCCACTCTCTGTGCCTTCCCGGGCTGGACCCACGCTGGCACAGCTGGCACAACCCCCTCGGGGTACCACAAGCCCTGGCAGAGTGGTCTGCCCTCCTGTTACCTCCATTTCCCTGCAGGGAGTTCAGCATGCAAACCCACAAATCCCTGGATCTGTCCCCAGGGAAAGCAGGGATTGCCAAAGCTGTAAAAAAGCATCCCAGAAGAGACATTTCCCCCCTTGAAATTCAGTGTACGATGCTGAAGCACGCAGGTTTTTAAATCTGAATGCATTTTTATGTTAAAAATGAGCTTTTTTACCCCCCAAGATACATTGGGATATATTTTTCCCCCCCACCTACTGCAGCTCACAGAGGCACCTCAGCCAGGGCATGGAAAAAAARCAGGCTGGAGCCTTTGGAAACGTGCATTTAGGCTGTGCACCTACCCGCAGACACTGCTCCACTGTCGGTGTGCAGGAGGTGGAAATAAAACCCCGTGACAGCTCCAGACTCRACAAAACCCCTCCTGGTCATTAGGCACCGAGTGTTCCTGTGGAATACCGGCACACAGGGACAGCCTCGTGCTGGACAGGGCTTGGAATCAAATTACAACACAGCTCCACGCTAGGACTGGCAAATGTCTCGGGGCAGGATAAGGGATTTTAAGTTATGGAAGCAAAAATACAAAATCTGTRATCATTTGGGCTATGGATGCGTTTATGCACACTGTCACCATCTCATCCTGCTCTGAAAAGCCTCTTTTTCTTCAGAGATGCACTTAAACATATGAAACCTGGAATATTTGGAAGATTGTGCCCAAGCCTCAGCATGCTGCTTTTCCAGGATTTTTGTGCCAAGATCTTGCAGAGCTGCAGRAGTGACCAAAGCCCCTTCCCCGTCACGATGTTGTAAATTGATTTTAACAACTGGGCACTGGACAAGCAGGAAACAACTCGTGTTTCCTGACAGAAAGATCCACCTGCTGACTAATCTTCCCTGGGTTTGTTTTGATTAAGGCTCTAAGCTCAATAATAAGATATTCCACTGAGTCACCTTAACTCTGTATTATTCCCCGGGGATGTGTCATCACTTCCCTTTCAGCTTTTCCCATCCCAATTTTGAGTGGCCATTCCAGGCCACAGCATGCCTCCAGCCAATGAAATGGCATTTGTTCACACAGAAGGCTTCCAGAACCTTTCCCAGTTCCAGACACCTTCCAGCTTGTCCCATGTCAACCCCATGTGTGAAATCCCAGCCCTCAGCGGGGCAAAATGTGAGTCCCACCAGCCCCAGGCATTGTGTAACTGCCAGAACAACAASCAAGATTATCTCAGGAAATACCCCAATTCCTGCATCTCCAGGACAATGGATGCTGCATCCTGAGYCACTTCAGAAATGTACAAAAAGAGGAAAAAAAACCCTTCAACAGCAAGGGGAAAAAAATTCATTATTTTTAAGAAACCAGACTGGTAGAAAACAATGATTTTCATGCTTCTAGCAATGATGCTCGGCAGCATATTTTTAAAACATACTTAGTTTTTTAAAACACAACTTTTCTACCTCCTTTTTCTTCCCTACTTTATTTTAAAAGAAGAGAAATTCAACCACATTGAATCGGTTTAAATTACAGTAGGAATTGACCACACATGCAAGATTCATTCTTATTTCCCCAGAGTTCCCCTCCGGGCCACATGTTGTCACAGCAATTTTCAACAACAAACAAGGATTTGTATTGAAATCTTGAACAGAATTTTACAAAAAGCACTTGAGCCAGAAAAATTTAGTCATAGCTCCCAGCRTTTTGAAATTATGGTTATTTTAAGGAAAGGTTATTTTTAAGAAAAGGCTATTTTAAGAAACAGAGGCAGAATCCTTGCCAAAGAAACCCAGCCAGAAGGCTTTAGCAAGCTGTATTTTGTTTTAAATCACACCACAGAGCAGCCACAGGCCTGACAGTGACACTAAACTGATTAGAAATTAAATTGAAGCGACCAGCATCAGAGGAGCTTACGGATTTATGATCAGTTTTGTAACTCCCTAAGGGAATAGGCACTTCAACAAGGGAGTGCAGGGGTCACGGGAGGTCCCTTTTCCAAAACACACCTGGGAATATTTGGATATCCCTCAGATATTCACCTCTTTGTGTTGTAGGCTGTGTCCTGGGGAGTCTCTTCCAGCAGGGTTACGTAGCCCAGCGCACATGTGAGGATGAACAAGACTGTCAAGGTATGAGCTCTCCTGAAATTCAGAACAGAGAAAGCTGACATTAAAAAGCAGGAAAACTCACATCTCCCCCCTGCCAGTGCAGCCTCAGGAAGCCAAAACCACAGCCAGCTGACAGGAATATCGAGGTTTTCTGCACTGCACAGTACAGAGAGCAGAACTTAGAGCAGCACAAGGCGTGAGCAGCAGCAGCAGCTTGGAAAAAACCAGCACYCGGTGCAAACAGCCGGATCTAAACAGCTCCAGGTGTCTCCCCAAGTTTGGCAGGTCCACACCTGACAGTGCTGCTCTATTTCACAGCCCACTAATCAAAACTGCAGCTGAGGGAACAGGCCCTTGAGAACAACCAAAGGGAATTCGCTCCATGCATGGGAATTACACAAGAAAAAATAGTTGTTAAAAGAAAAAAAATTAAAAATCTCTAAACGAGAAGAGCTGCTGTTGTAAGAATTCCGATTCCACCTCAAGATATTGGATTTCCAGGTATTCCTACAGTTTCAGTGCACTTAACAAAAGGGTTTCTGTGGGAACAGCTGGGTGGATGTCCCATACCAGTAAATGTCCCTACCCATAGGAGTCCAGAGGTTTATACAGATTTCGATAAAGCACTCAAGAAGAAATTCTTCTGGCACAGGTTGCCCAGAGAAGCTGTGGCTGCCCCTGGAARTGTCCAAGGCCAGGCTGGACTGGGATTAGAGGAACCTGGGCCAGTGGAAGGTGTCCCTGCCCTTGGGACCGGTTCCAGCCCAAACCACCCCAGGATTCTGTGATTCTACGGAAGAAGAGCGAGCCGAGCACACCCAGMCAGGTGACACCCACACCCTATCCCCACTGATCACCACACAGGGAACATTCTTACAACGTTCACACCTTTTCTTATTTCAAGCTGGAAATTTCTCTTTCTAATGAGAAGTCACTTACTGTTTTCAGTGGAAAACTCTGGCCTCAGCTGGGATGCACAGGGACTATGTCCATGTAAGGCCAAAGGACAAGCCACGAGTTTTGGTTTAGAGGACMACATCTCTTAACACAAACTAATAAAACAACCCAGCTATAAAGAGGAAACTTAGGGAGGAGAAAACCTGTAAAAGAAAGTACCTGTACAAGACATATTTGGTTCTATTTCCATTTTCTTTATATATTCTTTTGCAACAGTAGCTCACATCCCATCTCCATGTCATGCCAAGGTTTGTACATTCAGGCTGTGCAGAGCACAATAAACCTTGGAATTTCCAAGTCATCTGCTGACCTACCTTTGAACAACCCCCCAGTAATCCTCCTAAAACTGCTCTGGAAGTCAAGGAAAGGGAGCTGTTGAAAGAAAATTCCATCCTACTCCAAACCCCACGGCATCCCTGCAATCCCAGTGGGAACACACGCAATACCTCATAAGCAGGCACAATCCTCTTCTGCCCCCGCTAAAACCGAGTTCGGCATTGAAGGTTATCCTTCCTCTCAGTCCTGGAGGAACCACCAGCTCCAGGAGACAACCACAAAATCCACGAGTGCTCCCACAATTAGCAAGGACTSAGCRTGCCAAAACCTGGGGAAAGGCTCCRGAGCCACAAGCTCCTGCTCGGCAGCTGCATCTTCCCAGGTGCCAGCACAGGTGATTCAGCCATCGGCGCTCACGTGGGGCTTGCCCTGGATCCTGCAGGAGCTGGAAAACTAAACCCCGACCTCTCCCAGGAGGGAGGCAGAGACAGCAGGCACCGAAGCCACGCTCCAATCACACCAGCTCCTGCTCGCTGCATTTGCATGCGGGTGYAATGGATGGATTCTATTGCCGTCCCCAGAAAGGTTCAGTAACTCAAGGCTATTCCTGTGTCTCATGCCTTGTTTTGTTGGTTTTGAAACTTATTATTCTGTTGTTACATTATATATTATATAGTTATATGTTATATATATATATAAAATATATATATATATTATATAGTTGCATGTATTGTTGTATAGTTATGGATATTAGGGATTATATATAATTGTTACATCATTGTTTCTTTTTGGAAACAAACCTAGAAATCCCACCTTCACCACCGGAAAACCACACCAMGTAGGCTACTTTTTCAATGCGTTCAGCATCCCGTAAATTGCCAAAAAATCATTTATTACAYATCCTCACTTGGATAAACACCTCAAGAAACTCCTCTATGAGCACAAGGATGATTTAGGTGCGGCCTTCTCATGAGGATCCTGTAGGACAGTGAAGGGTCGATGTTGGGGAGCCTCATTGCATCCCATTTCCCATTTATTTTTGGTGCCACAGCCACCAGCCTGAAACCCAACCAGCTGCCCTGGTTTAAGGAGAAACAAGAGGCTGCTCTCATCACTTCCCTTCAAGCTCAGCTTTCATCTCCAGATTCCCTCTGAGCAGGTTTTCAAGGTGCTTCCAGCACAGCGTGAATTCCAGGAGTTGGGATGAAAGACTCTGGAGATGGGTTTGTCTTCAGGAAAGAGCAAGTTGGCAGCTCTGCCAGAGAGCTGTGAGCAGTGACACTGCAAGGAGAGGTAGCACAGCACCACAGAAATCCACCTCAGAGGGGGAAAAAACCCAGGAAATATGGATGTACAACGTGTCTTCCCAAAACTCAGGAGTTTAAAAATAAAATTCCACAGAAAGGAGCAGCAGTTCTTCAGGAGGGCTCGTCCAAGTGATCAGGATGAATTTAACAGCATGAGGGGATTGTTTTCATCTCCACACACATTTTAAAWTAAMACACYGGAGGAAGGCGAGCTAAGAACATCYCAGCAAGGTAAGCAWGGCAGGAATTACATGGAAAGGCTTATGTTCTCCTGGCCTGGAGCCTGGGAGGCTGAAAAGAGCTAAGCTGGGGATCTTCCCCTTGGAATTACACACAGGGGTTTGGGCAACATGCCTGAAGCAAAGGGGGAACAAACTGCAGCCAGATCTGGGAGGTTTCACATCAAAACCCCTGCAAAGCAGTGCCTGAAGTACCTGAGCAGAAAAATATCTAAGGTCAGGCAGAGAACTCACAATAAATCCCAAACTGTTAAAAGGCTGGAATATTAAGTAGCTTATTTTTCTGCCTTTCTACACCACAYATTTGGCTCTTATCCCACTCAAACCCTGGGAGATTGAAATGAAATAAATCAGGTTTGTTTTCACAAAAGCCCTTGCCCTGCTAACTCAAACACCAAATGAGAGCAAGCAAAGCACTCCTGCACTGCAGATCACAAAAAAGTGGGTTTTTTTCCCAGTTAATGGGATTAAGTTTGATCCCAACTTCTCTTTCCCATGCTAAGTCATTCTCCTGTCACATTGAGTCCCTGCAGGTTTGTCAAGGAAATGACTACAAGCGCTTTTATTTTCCAGCTGAAGTTTTGACACAAAGGATGAAAGGAAATTGTTTAAATGTCTTTTTTTTTTTTTTTTTTTCTTTGAGGTTCCAGCAGATCCTTGGGTGGAAAGGAGAGAGTAACACCCAGAAGYAGGCAGCCCATGGCCTCATTCAATCTCCCACAAATTAAGATCAGCTTAAGCAGGGACCGCACCCTTGTTATCCATGGCTTGTTTGTCACCAGTGATGCAACAACTCCATTAAACAAAATAACAATCACTGGAACAACATGCAAAGAATTCATTTATTAATATTTTGGTCAGTCCTCATAAGTGGAACAAAAATTCCAGAGGAAAGGCAGTCCAACTTGCCCCTTGGGTTAAAAARGTTGCATTAATTGCTGCTGCTGGTGAAAGGATCTGTCAGCAAACCCAATCAGTCCCATCAGTGACTKTTTCATTGTTTAATTCTTTATTCCATACAACGGCAAACTCATTAAACCACTCCTGAAAGATTTTTAAATGGATGTCAAAGCTCTGTGCCCTCCATAAACCAATGGAAAGTTTGGAAAACTTCAACTCCAACCCCAGCATATAAACATCCCCATCGATTTTGAGCTCTGAGTTGCTGTTTCAAAACCTGTTTAAACTCTCAGAGTTAATAAAACAGTCCCTATTCTTAGAGCAGCCGCACGTCTTCAGCACACCCCTGAAGTCACCCGACGCCGATTAAATTTCTGTACGTACTTGTGACACTCCAAAATAGCAACCTGCCTTTTCCTYGCCGTGAGCCTCTCCTCAAAAGCCCAGGAGCACCGACCTCCAGAGAATCAGAACCACAGGTCAACAGCAAAGCTCTGGCAAATCAGGGCTTTTCCTTCCCATCAGGAGCAAAGACCAAGTTCCCAAAGTTTCTGAAGTTTCCATCAGTTCTACAGGGCTCWCAAGTTCCCTCAATGTCCTATTTCAATTCTTAAACATTTTTRTGATTAAACCTATGGAAATCTGTGTCTCGGGAGTTAGTTTAGAGTAGTGTTACTGGGACAGGTAACCGGGAATTACAGGCAACATCCTTTAAGCACATTTTCCCCATTCTCCTTAAAATTTCGGGAGCGTGTTTACAAAAAAAGGCAATACAGGAAACTGATGTCCAGATGAGGCATTCAATTTTCACAGGCCCTCTCCACAATATTCCCTCTGCRCTTCCAGCCTGACTTGGCAGAACCAGGCAACCCCTTCCTTTGAGGAAAGGGCAATGCCATTCCCATATCACAATTCCCAAGGCCCTCTCATCTGTGACCAGCTGGTGAACGTGGCTTCGGTGGCATTGCACAAGGCCTGGATGTCCCTGCCCTGCCCTGTCCAGGGCATTCCCACATGCTGGAAAAGCATGGCAGGGTGACCCAGGACTCTGCAGCAATGTTGCTCTGGTCCAGCGTGGTGAGTTTTGAGTGGGCAGCGTGGCTTAGCACAGCTTGCTTAAAGCATGGAAAAATCCAGTGTTCTGTTCCCAGCAAACTGAAGGAATGCTGCCTTGGAAGTGCCATGGCCATCCCTCAGGACAGGGCACAGACAGCAGCTCCTGCCAACCTGTGGATATTCCGTCTCCCTAATCCCTCTTCCGGATAAATCCCCACCTCTTCCTCCAGACCGCCCTCAACAAATCCCGGGAAGTATTTCAGAGACAAGAGCAATGTCCACAAGGATTGGGTAAGGAATGTTTTGGGTTGAGTACCAACCCCTTCTTTCCAAAAATACCTGGTTTGCCCACACATATCCTCACTTCCCTTCTGGGAAGACTCACAACACACCAAGAGGAACAARCCAGTAGAGGCTGCCTCTTCCTTAGCTGCAAATTCCACAGAAAGGTAGAAATAATTCCTACAAACACTGCCATTAGCCCTACAAAATCCCTGCCATCCTCTTAGTCCTTTTCCTATTAATTTTAACGTCCTCAGCTCCACAGATCTCTGCTGCCACACCATGACCTCAGGAACCAATACCATACCCATGTGCTGGCAACACAAGATTATTAGTGGGAGAGATAACACACGTTCATCATCAAAAGTGGCATTAAGACTAATTAAATTCAAATTAAAGTAAGGCTTTGAAAAAGCAATTAACCCACAGAGTCACAACGTGGAGGCAAAAGCACACCCGGCACCTCCCAACACTCTCAAATAGAGACTGGATAGACTTTTTCCTGGAAAAATCTCCTTTGGTTAAAGACAAGCTACAAAACCTCTACAGAAATTTTAGGAGAACATTGTGCACAATATCCAACTAAATGGCCCCAAAACAAGAAGGGCTAGGAAATGAGTTCTGGGATAAATGATACAGAAAACACCAATCTGCCTCAGAAAGCTTCCTCCTGTTCCCTTCCCTTGGCATTTCCTRGTGGCAAAGGGAGCTGCCAGGCTACGCTGACCGAGCAGGTTCCCACAAGGGAGTATTTTACAGATCCAAGTCATTTATATGGAATAAGAGCAGAGATATTAGCACACAAGTGGTTTTCCAAAGTTTTAAATGATTTTAAAGAGCAAGAAGTCAGCTAGGAAGCTCCACCTTTCCCAAGGAACACATTTATGGTGGGAAAATCACCTCTGCAAATTAAACTACTCCTGGAATGATTTCTGTGTCCACAGATCCCAAATCTCTCCTTTTCCCATACAGAACAAGCCACATGAGTAACCTYATCCCTAACTCCTGAACTCCAAAGAGAAGGTACATTCTGTATTTTTCCAAAGTCAAAGGGCAGCCACTCTTAGAAATTTCCCTTTCCTGTGGCCACCTTCACAGCACGAGAGCAGTCCCAAGGGTCACAGGAAGAAAATAATTCCTCTGGATAATCTTTATTCTTGGACACAGTAGGAACTGAGTCATTGCCAAAGGATACTCTAACATGTACAGGGCAAAAGTAACACCAAGAAAAACCTTGGGACTTTTCCAGGTGTTTAAACTCCTGGCTGCCAGCACAAGCTACTAGGGAAAAGAAAATCAGATAAAAAGGGAAGTTAACGAACACACTTGTCCACGCTGCCCACCTGGAGGGGACCATCCAACACAGGGAAGCTCCTGAGAGAACAATCCACATGGACACACTAACAGAATTTAATTTGAAGTGACAACCGTGTCACCACTACAAAAAGACACAAGATTCTACAGCAAAAATTGGCTTTTAAGGCTTCACAAAACAGCTGGCAAGAGCCACCTTAACAAGGGAGTAARGAAAGGACAGTTTTACCCATTTTCCATTTAAAGGTTGGCACTGGGATCCCGCGATTCTCTCAGCCTACATGTGGTGCTCCCACCAGGAAAGATTCTTCTGTCCCCAAGACCACAATGGCTACACCCCGTGTGTCAGGGCTCGGCAGAGATCCCGCCGGGATCCAGCAGCATCCCAGAGTCCCTTCGCAGCTTGCACTGGCAGGAATGTCACCTCCTTCACCGGGATCAACACCCTCGGCCCGCTGCTGCCCAGATAGGCAGGGTGAGAGCCAAGTGCCCTCCCCTCCCACTCCTCCATGCCAGGCTGCAGCCAAACCCCATCRCCCTCGGCTCGTGTTCCAAACGGGYGTCTTCAGTGTCAGCTTGGTTTMCRTGTGCYGAACACACCGAAAAACCCACACGTGTGCCGAGGGGATTTATGGAGCAACTCCAGCCAGGCCGGGATTTAGGAGCACTTTTCCAAGTGCAAACACACCTCTTCCTCCAATGGCTGAATTTAACAAAAAGGTGATTTTCTCTGCTGGCTCCACACCATCAGCYGTGGGTTTCTGCACGCATTTTACAGACAGAGATGCAAAAAAATACACAACACCTGCCCGGYAGGAAGGGGGCATGACACCTTCAGCTTTCTGCCAGTATCACTGGGAATAACACGGATGGAAAAAGCCTCTTCCAAGACCAGAAGGAGAGAAAGAGGTGGAGTCCATAAAAGCAATGCTGATAGCTGGAATCAGGCAGGAACACTTGCCTGCACACCGGGGGCTCTCAAGGTGTTGGAAAAAACCTCCAGAGCACCCACTGGCCGGGACAAGCTATTGGGGTCAGCCTAAGGGCTCTGCTCCTGGAAAGGTCAGGACCAACCCTGCGAAAGGAGGCGCCACCGCCAAAATCCAGCCCTGAATGCCCGCTAAATTGCCAGGAGACAATTAACGGTAGGGCCACAACAGGAAAACACTTGCAGCCTATTCCAGCACCGGTATCGGCGACAGAACAGCAGATAACGGGCAGCAACTCGGATATCCCGTTCCTCAGCCCTTCCATATCCCATTCCTTCGGAGACCCCCATAACCCATTCCTCAGCCGCTCCACAGCCCATTCCTTAGGCGACCCCAACATCCCATTTCTTA